TAACATGGGATTCTTAATTACATCTTCCATGGAGGGTTTTTTTGTCCAATTAATCTCAAAGTAAACATTATACTCTTCAAGCCACACAACTGCTTTGCATCTTTTCTTGGATATTTCTTCATTATAAATTAATTCATGATGAAATTGTGTTTTCAGTCCATGACCACTGTGTTCACAGTACCCTCCTGTGAACATGCAGCTTCCAGGCCACATCCAGCCTTGCCTGAGTTTACCCCTACCAAATGGCACAAGAGAAGTCTGCGCCTTCTTTCTGCTTACAGATAATCACTTGGCCTAGAGACATAAGAGAAATAATTCATAGGGTATCCTTGTATTTACATTAATAAAAACTACTAACAGAGAAAACACCTGCAGAACTGGAGCGCACTTGAGCGTGTCTTCTGAAGCCTTTGGGACATACCAAGGCTGCTAGTTTTAGTAACTGAGACAGGATTTGGAAACTGTAGCAGAGTTGTTCAGGGCAGTAGAGGCAAGTCTGCTGCCTGGGGCTGCTATGGCTTCTCTCTCTATGTATGAAGACAACGTGAAGTAATTCAGGTCATTGGATGATGTGAATACAACTCTTCAGGTCTACCTGAGTATGTGTGTCCTTTTGAAATGACTGGGGCATTTTTGCTGATAGATTTCTGGGAACTACTTAATTACAATACATTAATTGGTTAGTTTATTCACATACAATGAACTGCAGTTTACTTATCTTGGTCATTTGAGAAAATTTAAAACTTAGCCTCAGTCTCTGGCTTTCTTGACAGTAAATATGAGGTTGCAATTAGTATCACTTAGACATCTATTAATGAACAAAAAAGTAATATGGGTGTATGTTCCTGTTAAGAATATCTTAATGAAATGAAGGAATACGGCCCCATCCACACACTCTGGTCAGCATCGGAAGAAGATATAGCAGACTGCCTAAAAGGTGTTGCCAGCTGCATCGACAAGTGTTGCAAGGCTACGGAGAAGCGAATGGCAGGGCTCTCGGAAAACCTGCTGCCGATTTTACATGAATATGTTCTCTACAGTGAAATTCTAATGGTAAGCTTTCCTTAAGAACTGCTTATGGTTGTATATAAAATTTGGCTTAGTCCAGTGCAAAGTCTAGAAGTGAATTTGTAACTGATGAAAATGATTTTGCAGTCCCTCTTTACTGTTGTTACTAAACATGCACAGCATAGGGCAGCTGTCCGTTAGCAGGGAATCCGGTTGGTCCTGTTTGCCTTGCTAATCAGGCAAGAGGCACCCCTTCCAGGTGAGAAGGCTTGATAGTTTTGCATGGCAGGCAGCCCTTGGTAGCTGGGCTAAAGAGTGTCTGGTTTTGCCATCTTTAGAGAGCTCTGCGTTGTACCAGAGAGGCGGGAACACAGAAAGGTTTGGGGAACAGCAGCTGAGAAAGACCTCTCTGACACTGCTGAAATATGAACTCATGGAGTAACAGATTGTGTGGGGGAAAAGGAGTGGAGAGGTTTTTCCCCTTCTAGGAGGTGTTCCTAAACTGTTTTCTTTGTCCAGAACAGCAGGGAACTTCCAGTCCCTGTGCCATTATAGAAGCAGGTGTTAGTCTTTGCCATAAGCTGATGCTTTCAGTTGCCTTTATACACACGTTTTTCTTACACTTGGAAAGAATGTAAAAAATCTGACTACAGAGTTGATAAACTCAGTGCTGATGGATAACCAACACAATTAAGTAACTGAATTCAGCATATCGTAATTCCCACTGTGCTGCCACCAGAAAGCAGAAAATGTGTACAAACCCCTCTTTGTCTAGGTTTTGCGCAATGCAATCTGCAGTATCTGTTCTTGCCTTTCTGCTGGGAGCCCAGCTTCTACTGAATGTGTTGGAGGCCGTGGGTAGAGCAAGACCCAAGTTAACTCAGACTTTGCCGGCACTGCGCAGAGCACTGCCAGTTTCGCAGTAAGGCTTAGCTACCGAGAGGTTAAGAATTACCGCTGCAATGACTGCTGTCTTTAAAACAGCAGCTTCATTGAAAGAGGAGCCATACAAAATGTCCTGTGTCTCACAGGCCTCATTATTTACATGTATGTGCAGGTAGATGGGGGTAGGTACTGCTTTGCTTAAAGGTCTGGAGAGATTACTGTCCTAGCAATTGCAGGGCTTCTTCCTCTCCCTCACTTCCAAACTTATTTTTCAGAATTTCTAAGTCTGTTACCCATGAGAGCTCCTAGCCTTCATACTATTGAAGAGATGCTGCCTGCCTCTTGCCTTCTAGTCTGCAGCCTGGCTTACTCTTTCTCAGGTGTTCTCTTTTGTCCAGAGCACCGAGAGGTTTCTGTGGACAAACCCCAGAGTGACTGCCTGGCTCTTCATGCACGTGTTCCAAGTAGCTGTTGCCCGTTGCATTTTTTTCTGCTTGTGGTGTTCTCCATGCCACACTTGCAACACTGCATTAGGCTGCCATGAGGTCCTGTCCGAAGGAAGATCTTCCTCCATGAGCTCATTCCTGTTCTGCAGCTGTTCCTTTCCTTTCATCACCATGGATTTTTATTTTTCCTACAGCTTACTTTCCTCTCACAGTTTGGAAAGGGAACTACTAGTCATGCTAAAAATACAATAGGGGAAGTCGCACACTAGTAAAACCTGCTTTCAGAGGTGTGTTTAACCCCCTGTCACAGGGACCTTTGTGCAGTGCTGCCAAGGCCGTGCACAAATGTGCAGAAGAAGGTGTGGTCAATACAATACAATCCTTGTATTTTCCTGTCTTGGGAGTTCAGCCTTAACTGGGAAAAGAGATGAATTCATAGCTAAAATATTTACATCTGGACTGGCTCCTTCCTAACTGACTCGCAGAACAAATCTGGGGAGTGCAGAGTACTGCTGTGCCTCAGGGTATGAATTGCAGCAACAAATTGGTTATGGGTCCACCTACAACTATTTGAGGGTTTTGTGGCAGGGTACCATTAAATATTACACCAAAAATTGTAAAAATATAATAATATGTTTTAAAAACAGAGCCCCTCTGTTTGCCATTAGAAGTCAGCACTTGTCTATAGTTGTAGCATATTACTATTAAAATAATAGGGTTTATCTTGTAATTTAAGGAGTATTTGTGATAAAAATTGCCAGATAGTCATTAAAACAGTTTTTAAAGTGGCAAAACAAATAGTAAAAAAGAGAAAGGATTTAGAATATGAAGGAAAGCTGTTCCAGACATATTTGTTTTGCTTCTATGCTTGAAGCTAAACATTTTCTGTATTTATCTAACCAAAAGATATTCTGAGCTGTTGAAACAGAGATTTATGAGCATTAGTATGTCTTACTAATCTATTACTCAGAATTGTCCAAAGTCAGGTTTATCAATTTTTTCTAGTGAGTACCTGTTCAAAAAGAAACATTGAAAAATTATTTGAAAATTAACCTCCTAAATTATTCTGTTTGTTAAAGTGACAAGATTTCAAAGAGAACTCAGTCGAGTAAGACTGCTAGAGAAGGTAGAGCTGCTTGTGCCGTGTGCTGTTTCAACATGCCCTATGCTAGAGGTGAATACTGAAAATCTCTTTAGTATATGCAGGAGAAGCAGTAAAACCAGTTGTGGCAAGGTAATGTAAAAGAAGGTTTTGAGATTTGTAATTATCTATGATGTCCTGCTTCTGATTTTTTTTTAAAAGGACTAAAGCCTTGCAACATTTCTGCGAGATAAGCACACCTGAGTGTGCTTTTACAGATGAGGAAACTAAGGCAAAGAGAACTATGTAAGGCTTTGTCAAGGTCACAGAGCAAATGAGCATTAAAAATGGAAATTTAATCTGTAATACCTGCTTTGTAGTTTAAGAAGTAACATTCCTTCCCCTTTCTAATTATTTTTGACATTATGCTAAAAATCCAATACCTGATAAGACAGTTTTAAAGGAGATAATAATTACATATGCTGAAAATAAGCACATACATCAATGGTAGAACATGTATCATTTTTATGATAATTTTATCTGATATTTCTGAACTATGTTTGGCACTTACGAAATAGCATTGAAGGTTAAAGTCACAATTTCAATAATGTCTGGTATACCATATTCAGTCATTTATTCTACTTATATTGTAACTTTTTCTCAAAGAATACACTTGTTCATGAGCTTTGGCAAACTCATGTTGCTGTTTTAAAATATGAATATATACTAAGTTGAGCTGATACTAAGTAAACCACTGTTGCAGTTTTTCTCCTATAACTAGCAACGATCCTGTGTATGACAGATTCTTGCGGCATTGATTTTGGATTTACTGAGATTCTTGAAAGACACATAAGATAAAATACATGTATTGAAAAATAACCTTCATGATTTTAAATTTTTCTTGAGGAAAGTACATGTATGATGTCAAAATTATTAAAGGCATCATTTTGCAATCTTGCTTAATTTATTAAATAGCCAAGTTTGATGCTTTTCTGAATATATGGTTAAAATTTGGTGCCATTTACATCTTTCTTTTCCCCCCCCCCCTATATTAAGGGTGTTTTGAAAAGGAGAGACCAAATTCAAGGCGAGCTCGACTCCAGAGTTGATGCTTTAGCCAATAAAAAGACAGAAAAGGATCTGGTGAGTACGTACAGAAAGCTGAAATCTTCCAGGCCTTATTCTAACTGCAAAAGACGATCCCCTGATGAAAAGCGTGTCCTCTGAAGGCATGCTTTGTGACTGGACGGTGTCTCTATAATTCTCATACTTACTCTGAAAAGGTTTGGTCTTTGCCACTATGCATGCCAGGCAAAGGCAATCATGAGATGCAGACCTTCAGTAGATAGGCTGCTGGAGCAAAGGACTGCTTATAGTGGGCGACCACTGTGTTTTGTCAACACAGACTGCTCTGCATCTTATTTTTAGCATTTCTGTTTACTTCCACACTGAAGTTAAAAGAAAGTAAGACTTGCTGCAGTGCTCTTGTAGCTGCTGCTCCATTGATGTAGGAGAGAGAGAGGAGGTGGTTAGAATAAGCAAAGCTATTCATTAAACTTCTTTGAAATAAAAAGTTCTGGATTCTGTTCTTTCAGTTTTCTGTCTTATCTGGTTGGGCCCAGGGATATTTTTGTACTGCCAGTATGACACATTCATTCATTCTAGTGAAGTCAGACCATAACTGGCAGCCCATGGGGGCAGGCATCCCTAAATCCATCGATGAGGCTCTGTGGGCCAATTAAAAGGAACTTCTGGGATGGGTATTGGCATTTTTAAATTATTGATTGTTTAACTCTCCAGCCTAAATAATGTCCTTTTACCACAGTGTTAAGAAAAAGTGTTACAGAGTGTAAATAATATATAAAAATGACTAAATAATAATCACTGTGACTTTTTAGTACATCGAAGGAGAAAGTACTTGACATTTCAGATGATACTTTTTATTAGGGTTGTCATAATTAGCTTTCATGTAAAGATGAGCTGTTTAGATAGTTTTTGGCACTTGAAATGCATATTTTTATTTGAGTTCTTGTCACTGAGCTGAATAAATAAGAATATATTACCACTGTCTGGTATCTATGATGGCTATGGTATATTTTGTAACAGTTTGCCTCTGTGCACTGCAGTGGGACGGTAAGTAAATACCTCTGGTTTTGATTTTTCCTGAAGGAGAAATTCTGTTTACTTATATCTCACATATTGTCCTCCCATTTCACTGTCTTTGTGTTCTCTAATCTGTTCTTTGTTTCTCTACTTCCTCTGCCACTTCTCCTGTCCTTTGTCCTTTGTTTACACATAAGGTTTGAAGCTGTTATAAAATGCGCGGAGGACGGTGCCTTGGAGAGGTCCCTAGGCTGGGAGTTGAGGTGGCAACGGCAGGTCCTAGTCCTCTGCTGGCTGGAGGCCGCTGTATTCCCACGCTGCCTGGGGAGGGCACTGGCCAACCCGCTGCGGGCTCCTGTAGCACCCCGTGCCATGCGTGACCTGCGGGCCAGCAGCTCACCTTAGTTGCAGTGCATGTAAAAGCACAGTATATATTAAGAATGATCCTTACGGGTCCTTTCCAACTTGAGATATTCTGTGATTCTATGATAAAGGAGTGTTATACATCATTGCGTAAGTTGTTTGTATGCAGCTAGTTTTATCGACTTTCACCATTGCGTCCCTTTTAATCAGTACTTCCCATTTGTATGGTTTGTTGGCAGCCTGCTAAAAACAGTTGCATTTGCACAGAGCAATTCAGCAATGAATTCCAATTTCACACAGCTTGTTTAGCAGCTAGTCTTACTGCTGTCCACCATAGGAAAGGGAACATTGCCCAGCAGGACGTGGTCTTTTCAGAATGTATTTCTGTTAGAATCTGATGGAGTCCTCAGACAAGGTGCATGCACTCTCTTCCTGAACTGTTATAGACAAAAGGGAGTATTTTTCCCTTTAGCATAGTATTGATCATACCATATTGATTTGATATTGACAATGGTTTACTCCATAATGAGATGGTTGTACTTGCTTCCAGTAAAATGTTGAGATCAGTTTCCACAACCTGGTCTTTTTTCACTGCTTCTGTGTTTCCAAAACTGTTTTTATAGTTTGGTAAAAACCTTTGGACAGTGTGATTACCCAGGTGTTCAGATCTTTGCTTTCCATCCCCTCTATTTCTTACTCATTTCAAAAAATCTTGTTTCTGAGAGCCTGATTCTCTTGCAGTCTCACAAGAGCAGTAAAACAGATATCTGTTAGTCTAAACAGATCATAAAATCCAGTGTTCTCTAATTGAGTGGCAGCTGTATCCCAAAGACGTTTTCTTAGAAGTTGAAAGCTTTTTCTATTAATAAGTTTGGTCACAGAGAATGGTGTACTGCTATTTTTAACCATTCGAGTAACTTTTAACTGTTTTCTTAATCATTTTTCTACTATGTTTTAATTTTTATTATGTGCTGAAATATTTTGCTGACGTTTCTAACGAGACTGATTTCAGAATAAAAGGTGGTCATAACACAGGTGCTGTTATTGGAATTGGTGTCAAACACAGAGTTTGGCTGTATTTGCACGTTTCTATTCCTGAACAGAACTCATGTAGCTTTTAATGATCTCATAGATGTCAGATTGAACTTGTCAGTGCAATCTAGTAGCCAGAAATTCTGCTGACAATGAGTGGCATGAACTCTAATCTCATTTGAAGTACATTTCCACCATAGATAAGGAATCTCAGACTGTCATTAGAGCTGATAAAAGGCTGTGAGATCTTTAGCATTGGTCATGGCAAACATTAAATGATTTAACAAACAGGACGTTATACAGCAGGAGAATACAAAACATCCCCAAGGTCAGTGCAGCTGAAATAGGCTGGAATCACAAATTAAACCTTATGAGATGTCAGGCTTACTGGCTGGGAAAAAAATGTTTTCTTGAGCTGTGCTTTTGCCACTGGGCTTTTAGAAAGCTGCTTGTGGTGCTGCTGAAAAGCCAAAATCTTGTTTCCCCACTCCAAAATTTAGTCCACGAAGAAGGCAGTTGTTCAGGGTATGGAAGGTTTGAATACTGTGATTTTGGATGCAGGCTCTGACAGATATCTGGGAGGACATTAGTGTCCTTCTGCTTATCTAGACCTTTCTTACCTCCAGAGCTCTGGCTGTAAAGATGTTGGAGTTTGTGGCTCCATCGCTCCCGCACTCCATTCTGAAGGCATACACAGCAATGCTAGTGCATCCCTTTGTGGTTTGGGAGTTTTTAACAGTTTTGGTACTGCCACTAGCGCTAACAGTAATTCTGACAAAAGGTTGGTATAATGTGCTCTGACAGAACCAGATAAGCATCAAATGCTAACTTAAGGATTCTAGTGTTCAGGCTTGAAACTAATGCTCAATCTATCACATTCTGAATATATCTTATGTTTTATCTCCAGGCTAAAAACAGTTAGTATTGCCAAGCTGTAGGATTAATTCATGTAGCAGATGATAGATAGAAATTCATGGTATTTTGCATAGTGAGTGTAAAATGCTATGATGTCACTTACTAGGTAATTTGGCTATTGGGCCGAGATTCTTTGGCTACAGGTCACACTGTTCACATCTGGTAGCGCTCTGCCCTAGCAGCCTCGGGCTCCCACCTTCTGTCCCGTGCTCCGATGTCTGATTAGCACTGCGCTGTCTTTGGAGATCACTGATGTAAGATTTAATTTATCACACTAGTTGCTTCAGTGAGATCAATGTAAGAAAATGGATTCAGAGTCATATTTAATTTGCAGGATAAATTGTAACAATTTACACCTTGTAAATGAGGAACAGACTAGGTAGGTGTTTCTGTTGAGACAAAACCATTCTTCTTTGATTTCTGCTGTCATGGCAGGTGAAGAGGGTGGCATTTATGTTTGTTTTCAGTTGTGAAAAACCCCCCAAAACAAACCAAAACCCTCTCTACTTGAGATGATGAAGTGCAGCATAATGCTGTCTTTAGACCTTAAGTCCAGCCCTTGCTTTGATACAACACACAGTTTCTTTTGGGCTTTAGAGATGATGTTTAAACCGCATATCCAGGCAGGGATGTAGAACAGTCTGCCTGTCCACCTCACGTTGTGACTATACCATGGAAGAAATTCGTAGTTCCTAGAAAAGGCAAGACAAAAACATACTGTAAAATAAATGTCTAAAAGATATAAAGAATGAGATAAGGGGAAGCTGCTGCAGCCAGGACTTCTAAGTCGAAGAAGTTCTTTATGTGTGTAGCCTAGCTTATTCCCATGTATGGACTTTTTTCTTGCAAAAGCAGAAAATGGATTCACTGCCTTTCCTACTCTAAATCATCTAAAAATACTCAGTTTGCAGTATTCTGTGTGCATTCATTTTTGATATTTGAAGAAAAGGCAATTAACTTGATACATGCCCAAGATACTGAATCCAGCTGCCTGTAATTCCTCCAAAGGTAAGTTCCCTACATTTAAACTTTGGATTAACCTTTTCATACTGAATACAGTGTTGGTAGTTGAAATTACCCTTGTCCATAGTTTGATTACTGGTCTGGCTACATGATCGAACTTGAGCTTTTCAGTAAAGCAGAAATAATATTTTGCATATTTGTATCCTGGGGTGCATTAAGAAGACTGTGGCCAGCAGGTCAAGGGAGGTTCTCCTCCCCCGCTACTCTGCCCTGGTGAGGCCACATCTGGAGTTCTGTGTCCTCTTCTGGGCTCCCCAGTTCAAGAAAGACAGGGAACTACTGGAAAGAGTCCAGTGGAGGGCTACAAAGATGATGAGGGAACTGGAGCATCTCTTGTATGAGGAAAGGCTGAGAGAGCTGGGGCTGTTTAGTCTGGAGAAGAGAAGACCAAGAGGGGATCTCATCAATGCTTATAAATATCTAAAGGGTGGGTGTCAAGAGGATGGCGCCAGACTTTTCAGTGGTGCCCAGTGACAGGACAAGGGGTAATGGGCACAAACTGGAACACTGGAAGTTCCATCTCAACATGAGGAAAAACTTTACTTTGAGGTGACAGAGCACTGGAACGGGCTGCCCAGAGAGGTTGTGGAGTCTCCTTCTCTGGAGACATTCAGAACCAGCCTGGATGCGATCCTGTGCAACCTGCTCTAGGTGAACCTGCTTTAGCAAGACTAGATGATCTCTAGATGTGAAAGAGTTTCTTCTCTGCAGAAGTCCTTTGGTTTAATTTCTTTCTCTGCTTCTGTATTCCTCTCTCCCTCACATGGTCACACAGAGGTTAGTTCCACAAGAAAAGATGGCAAGGTGATAGGCAAGAAAGCAGAAAATTTGTGCTTTTGATTTCTGCTGTCGTCTCCCCATTCGGGTTTCTTCTGAGTGTCTTCATCAAAGTGTCTGTCAGGGTTGTCTCAATTTTTAGGGCCAAATCTAATTTGTGTAAGTTGATTCTGCCTCAGTAACACCCTCTATATTTTCCTTTTTAGATGCATTACTGTCAAGTGCTAGTGAAGAGGTGCCAGAGTCTGTAACTTCTCAGTCAATAAAAGTATCTTCAGCAACACTTCTAATTCTGGTGTAGAATTTCTGTTATTAATATTTAAGGAATTGTACCATGTTATTCATTAAGAATAAAATTTGGATTTACCCCTGTGCTAAGTTAAATACCAACCTTAATTCTGCAGTTCTGTTTGTCTGCACTACACTCATTTGATTTCAATCACTTTCAAAATGGTGACTTTTCTAATATTTTTTAATGTTTACAATTCATATTTAGTTCTCAGAAGAGATTGGGAAGCTTGAAGACAAAGTCGAATGTGCCAATAATGCTCTGAAAGCGGATTGGGACAGGTGGAAGCAAAACATGCAGTGTGATATGAGATCAACGTTTATTAATGTGGCTGAGAATAATCTCCGTTACTATGAAGAGGTAAAACACTTTCTCATAGCAATGTTATTTTTTCATCGATTATTTTGGTGGAGAAGTGCATGGGTTATCTGTAAAGAGAAATTTTTGCATTTTAGTTCAAACCTGTGTTAACTTCAGAATCAGTTTTTGTGGGAAGAGGGAGGCAGTTATCCTTAATTTATTTGACATGTTTGAAGCAAAACGTATTTTATTTGTGCCCAAGTGGTTGATCCTGAGTTCATCATCGACAGAGGGCACTCTTGTTTTACTAACCACAACAATTTGGAACATATTTTTCAGTTCAGTGTCAGCTGCTAGATTTCAGTTTGGAAACCTTTTGCTGTAACTGCATGAAGAAGCGCTCTGGAAAGCTCAAACTTCTGTAAATGATCTTGTATGAGGAAAACATTTAAATGTGATGCCATTTCAGACAGCACATTCAGGAAGTCCTCATTGTTATTTCTCGAAGGAATTGTCTTTTGTGAAATAATCAGACTTCATAAGGATAAAGAAGAACAATACAATTTTGAGAAGTCAATATGAAAAACTTATTGCAGTTTTAAAAAAATATAAATTCTGCAAATGTATATAATTAGTAAATTGAATCTTTTTATAATTGAAACTTACTACTTCAGAAAGAAAGAACAGTGGTTGAAATTAGATTTTTTTTTTTTTCAACTCAAATGTCACGACTAATATTCTTGGTAAGGATTCCCTGTTACAAGAATATGTACTAAGAAAGAGAACTTGAAAACATAAAATATGTTAGGCATTCTATGAAGTTTCTTCATGGGTAACATGTTGTTGATTGAAATGCGCATTTTGAAAATATCCCAGATGTCTTGAATTTTTAAAAAAATTTCTCCTTATTTTGGGAAAAAAAATTGGAATACACTAAGCCATCTATTAATCAAAAATTCATAATTTTCACAGATATATGTTGACATCTGTAACTTCCAATCCTGTTTTTTGAACTTCTTATGGATTGCCCGTTAGCCAATGACAGTGTCCTGATTTTACAAATCATTTTCTTCAAACATAATTGAAAAGACAGAGCTCTTGATCATCGAGTCTAATTAATTAACATACAGTCTGTGAGATGCACGGACATTGACAATCTGTTGTTACATATTAAGATCAAAATATTTTCTGAAATCAGGCAGCAAGCTTTTGGCAGCCTCTCACATTTTCTTCAGTTATTGATGATCTCTGACTTCTATATCACCAATATGTATGTTAAAATGATGCTAAATATATTGGAATACTTTGTTAATGAAAGATTAGATAAATTAAAACACAAAAATACTTCTTTGGTTCTCTTTCCTGTTTAGAAATGCTTTTTGCTGAATTAGAATTTTAATTCAGAATGCCAAACCTTGTACTGTACATGAAATTACTGTCATTAAGTCACAGTGCAGAAAATGGTTCAGCTATCTCTGTAACTGCCAGTGGTTCTTCTTAAATAGCCTCTGAAATAACGGACAAATTGGTTTATACTGAGACATTATTCTTTCTTGGTGCTTTTCTTGAATATTGAAATCTGCATAAAATGTTTCTGTTGTTACATCTCAGTAGATCTAGATTTTAGAAAAAAATACCTTATCTTACTGCAGCTGTTGCAGTAATAGGAAACATTGTGCTAACTGTATCCCTCCTTGTTTGCAAACTGAGGGCTTACCGATTTTTTTCTCTTTTATCAGAAAATCATTATCTTAATCCTGAAATTCAAGAGAATTTGATAAAATTAATATTAGATTGCGAGTTTTGATCTAAAATATGCATGTTTATTTGAGACCTGTGGTTAATGCTGATGGTTAATTATCGGAGAAGTGATTACTGTCAGAGGCCCTTATATTACAAACTACAAGTGTGTAATGCGTTCCTGAAAACAGCAGAAAGAAGGCCTGACATCTGCTTTCACTGTTTGGAAGTGAAACTTCAGGAAGGGAATCTCAGAAACCTGAGAATCAGAATATGATTTTTACGCTTCCAGTAGAAAACAAAATCCTGCCTTAAAGATAATAGTTTGAGTCTCACTAAACTCATGCACAAGTGCGGTGCCTGTTACAGTGTTTTTCACTTGTTCAGCCATTATTTGCATCATTAACGTTCTCTCACGTGGCCGAAGTTAAACTACTTGTTCATGCATTTGATGCTTACTAAGCCTTTCCTTGCTGTAGCATCCCTCACCTTATTTCTTGCTTTTTTTTCCCCCAAAGCATGTTCTGTGCATAGTCCCAGACACCATAGATGCCATGGATATGATTCAGTTGCCCAGCTCTTCTGGCCATCTCCTATGAGGACTCATCTCCTCAGTCACTACCTGCTTTTCCTCCTTTCCACAGGTTCCCCCGCCACACTCCACCCCAATTCAACTCCCATTCTTCCCTCCCCACAAGCAGTGTCCCATTCCCTTCTCTACAGCAGTGTTTCACTGTGCTCCTCATCATTCCCCAGTCTAGCTGACTTCATTTCCCAGGTGCACAACCTGACCAGGAGTCATTCCTGTTAGTGGCCATTCCCTGCATCCCTTAAATTTCTGAGAACTACAGAGTAACGAGGTATCTCATGTTTTCTGGTGGCTTTTGCAGTAGAGAATCCAGTCCTTCAAGACTGTATGGAACTAAAGCCAGTGCGATAAAGTACAACACAGCAGTGTGTCAAAGTACACTACAATTTCTAAAATGTAATTTCCTCTTTGTCACCATGTGGGGAGAGAGTATGACCTTACATTTGTTTGGATTTTTCCTTAATTGTGGTTGCCTAAGGATTCTGCTGTCAACTTCTCAAGCATCACTTAGCTAGCATAAAAGAGTACGTCTCCCTTAAGCTGAAGTAATCTTCACATTACATGAAGTGCTACTTTAAAGTGTTACCTGTAATTATATTTCTCTGGATTTACTAATTCAAAACAAGTAGAGATATTTCTCTAGCCTTCCAGTTTATTCACTATCTACATTTAATATAATTGAATAAGAAGCGTTCCTTTGTTTCTACAGCAGTGGAAGCACCAATCTCTTTGTGGCTCTCAATGCTGTGGTAACAAAGATGCTAATTAAAGCCCAGTGTTGCAAATTTACAGGGTGCTCCTATGCAGACCTATGAGAATGAAGGCTTTCCTGAGATAATATACAAGTTATGTTATAATACATTTAAATATGTCATTTAGTAGCCAAGAATTACCATGACTGACCAATCATTTGGTATTCCTGTAGCTGGTCTCAAGAGTTCATAGAGTTCTCTACTTCCTTTGCTTTGCTTCTGGAAAAGAGTTAAAATACATGCTTAAGTCTCTCTGTAAGGCTTAAAGCCAATAACATACTGCATTAATAATGACTGTGAGTGCACTGCTAAAATAGGGATGATTTCTAAAAATCCAGAACTTGACTCCTATTTCTGAAGCAAATAGCATCCACTTGTTTGCCTTACAGAGAAAAGTTGTTGAATGAAGTATGTGTTAACACCACACCATTTATTTTATTCCTTTCCCCCATGCCTTAGGTGTGACACTGTTTTCTGAAATGTCACCCCTCAGTCCAGAATATCTGCCAAACAGTTGAAATCACAAACTGTCCACAGGGTGGAGCTTACAGCTGAGAAAGCTGATTGTCACCTGGAGTATTTTAATTAAGTTAGGTATAGATATTCTGCAGGGCCCTCAAGATGCAGCACTACTAAAACCAAAACAAGATTCAAAGTTATTTGTGGTGGTATTATTATTTAGCTAGCCTGTCCGAAGTGTTCCTGGTACAAGTTAGCACAACCAAACCAGTTTTGCAAAACAAAACCAATTTTGAACTCTGGCTTCAAAGAGCAATTAAACATTTACTACATTTTTGCCTTTTGTTTTTCTCATGTGTTTACTGTAGTCTAGGATATTTACAGCACAAAAGAACAAGAAACACTTTAATTTTTCTCAGCAAAGAACTTTGCTAACCTATTCTGTTCAGAAAAAAACACTGGAATAAGTCACTAGATTTTGCAGCCCAATCCAAAGACTAGTTAGACATTATAAATCCAGCAAATACACAAGAGTGTGGTTTTCCACTGCTCATGAGGCACTCAAGTAAATGCAGGCAGATTGGGACTTTTTTTCATAATGTAGGATGATACTTAATTAGTTTTGGCATTGAAAGAACAGGCTTTTTCTTGTGCATGGACGAGCCTTTGTTTTAAAGTGTAGCCTCTGATTTTATTTTTCTCGTGTCAAACTAATCCTGTTAAACCTTTGCAGCTTAATCAGATAAAAAGCTAAAGTTACCTTTTATATAGTGAGATTCTTGTTGGTATTGGCACAGCTTACTCTTTTCCAAAAATATAGATAATTTCCTGATTTTCCTAACTATTTCAAGCATAATTTAGTTTATTTCTGTGACCTACATTGTTGTACAGGCATAGATTGCTCCAAAAGATTCATTAAGGCAAAACAATGCTCCTTCCCCATTACAGCAACTTCCTCTAACTCCAAAGCCCTTGTTAGTATAAGCTGTAGAAAAATAGATGAGATTTGTTGTTTGCCCTAGAGGCCCATGTAGTGATGCATTTAACTAGTCATTTGGTTGCATAGCAAAACCACACTCATGCATGTTGATCACATCCTACCTTAGCGATGCCTAGGAATTTAGCTAACAAATTTCATGTGATTTTCAAAAGCTCCCACATGGCTGAGCCAGTTTCCCTCTGTGCATGTCACTTCAAAGCCAGGATCCATCTTTGAATCCTCATTCACTTCAACCATAAAAATTTATTTTAAATACTTTTAGGGAGACTTTTTTTATAGTGGGAATCACTGTTTCTATGCACTCTAGTTTTTGTTTCCTTGCACCCAGAAACTATGGAAGTATTTTTGTCTGCCTTTCAGACACACACAAGATTTCATTTTCAGATTCTACTCCAGAAAATACCATCATAAATGATATTTTTAAGGTATCAACCGTGGAAAACAGGGAACTGGAAAAGAAACACACATGGCACGTGGCACACTGCTTCCGTTACCATCCCTACTACATGTTCTATTTTTGTATCTTCTTTTTAGTTAGATAGGCAATTGTACTATATGAAAACCTTTCTGCTATTTTTTCTAAAAATGATGTTGCAGAATAGATGTGTGACCTGCAGTAGTAATCAGAATATTTTAGGTAAAGTAGCCTTATTTAAGCTTTTGCTATTTCATTTTGTGTATTTAGGCTTTTTTATGTCTTCTGCTGGGCTTTTACACATAATTGGATTATGAATTTCAATCCTAGGCATGCACATTTAATTTCCTGGGTTTGGTTTTTCTTTTTTTTTCCCTTTCTGTCTCCTTTGTGAAGGCTGGCTGATCCTCTATGTAGATCTCCGTTTTCAGTGGAATGAAGTAAAATCATTCTCTAATAATGTTGAAGTGTACATCACTAACGAAGTGTTGTTTATGCAGTTCATGCTTCACAATATAGAAAGCTTGAGCCTAAGGCACAGAGACCTAGTTTTGTTTTGCTATGGTTAATTATAAAACTTGTCAGCTGTAGCAGCACTGTGATGTCTGACAGTGAAATGAGCCACCATTGCTCTTACATTTTGGAAAATGTGTTTTGGTTATATAAATGAGGATAAATTAAAAGAATAATTTGTGTAACTGAAAAAAATGCTTTGCATCTTTGTCTGGAAAGACTTCAATAGGTTGTATCTATCTGGTTAAACAACATATTGTGATTGCATTTTAGCATATGCAGTTTGGCTCGGTGTTGCAAAGAGAACAGAAAGCCATTTTTAAATTCCACCCAGTGCTGATATACGTATTTTAATTCACATTACTGAAATTACAGAACATGGAGTTACACGGTATAAATTAAACTGTGGTTCACAAAAAAAGAGTCAGTCATTGCCAACAAAAGACTCCGGAAGAAACAGTGATCATTTCTTGTCCCACACCTAGATGAAGCGGAGGAGAACAGACGTGCCTTGCAGCTTTCTAGGACGTTAGTCCAGGCTGGGCTCTAGCAAACAGCAATCTGAGTCCGAGCACCACAGTGAAGACACATTGCTAGCAGCTGCCTCATTGACATTTTAAAACCAAGATGCCACCTTCCAACTCAAGCATCTCAGACTCAGCTGCCACAATGTCACATGAAGTAGAGGAGAATCTAATGATCAAACCTTAAAGGCCTTATACAAAAGGTCAAAAAGACCTTTTAAGTCAGAAATCAGTTTGCAGCACTTGCAGATCACTGTTCATGCTAATGCTATTTTCACCATTTCTCCCTCAGTTTTTACCATTTAAAAATAACATTTCTCCAAAAAGTCAATGAAGAAAGCAGATTTCCACATGAATTTTATCATGTTATTCCTCTCTTTTCACATTAATTCAAACCTTAGATGCGCTCTGAACAGCAGCAAAACGTTGTGTGCAAAAGCAGCAGAAGCTAGTTGGGGATTTTGTCAGCAAGAGCAGAAAAGAAAGATTGGGGGAGTAGATTCATGGTTTCTATTCAATATATGAATAACAGGAACAGTCTCTAACATGCCTGATAACAACCGAAAACCTACGCAGAAATGAGCTCCCGCATACTTTTTTCTTTGTGATCTCTTTGGCCAGTCGGCTGTTTTACCCTCTCATTATCTTGCAGGCCCACGTCTTCTACTTTTGTATGTCTTGAAAGACGTAATTGCTGCTGACTTTTGTTTTCTGTTTCTCGTTACTTTTGTCACCCATAGTTCTATGGGTATCCTTGGTTCTGCGTCCTTGAGTCATCATGGATTCCCCAACTCCGGTCATCCTGTGTGTCTCCTTCATTTTGCTGTCTGAGATTATGCTTTAACATTATTCATGACTATCATATCCTCCCACTTGTCTGGTCTGCTTGCACATAGCTATGCAATAATACCAGGACCTAGGCTCTTTAGTGTAATATGATTAAATCTACATATTTAATGGCAGAGTTTTGAAGTCATTCACAAGAAGTGTCTAATAAGACAGTTAGGTGGCTGTAAGTTCAAGCAGCATGAATGCTAGTGTGTTTTCCAGGGCTCCTAAGCAATGACAGATGGATGCTAGATACTTCATTGTAGCTGGGCATAGGAAATTACTGTGGCTTGAATAGCTTATGGCAAAAGTTTTCACTCAGGAAATGATGCTGTTTTCAGGGTACTGATTTAATTCAAAGTTCAGATAAATGGAGTATGCTGTCCAAGTTTTAATATAAAGGAAGATATTTCCTCAGAAATTTCAGAAGACTTTTTTTATTGTGAATATTTCAGATTCTTCATGAAAAAAAAACTGTGTACAATAAGTAGTAAATAACCTGCATTGTCAAGAGCAACAGGTATGAGTGTATAAGTAAAAATTTTATTAGAACATTTACATTTCAAGGTGGTTTGGGGTTTTTTTTCCCAAATTATTCCATGAGTTTGCCTGCCCTGTTCTAATGACTTGAAACAGTAGAAACCTGGTACTTTGGGTATCAAGCATCAGCACGCTACAGGTTACCTAGTGATAGCCTTGCCATGACTCTCAACACACATGATTTCTAATAGTTTGCCAAGCTGCCAAAACTCATTTAAGACAAAATGAACGAAAGTCATTTGGGGATTTTTTTAATATTTTTTTTTTATTTATTTTACTGCCTACCGTCTTGGTGCTTCAAAAAAAAATAGTTTGTACAATTATAAATACATTTTTCCATGAGGAGAGAAATGCCACTTGTTGTAAGGATGACAATTTCCCCACCCCCTGCCTGTCTGGTCCCATTGCTTTCCCATTACTCAGGGGAAAAATGAATTCTCTGTGTGTTCAGAAAAAATTTGTTTTAATTTAACTTGGAAGGAAAATTGGGTATACAATAGGAATCCACAGAGATTACAAGGGAACTGTGCCTGACAGTGTGCTTTCTATTTGGAAGAGATCTTTGCCTGTAACTAAAGGGAGAGATTAAAGAAGAGCGTAATTAACATTAGTATCTTCCATGCTAACACATACAATTACCGTGCTCACACTGTGTGCGCTTGTCATAATGTAAAAGTGACCTTCACAGCTCACTCAGCATGTTGGCTAACATTTTGCCTATCACTGAGCTGCCTAGGAAACCAGATTTTGCTCTTACCATAGTCCCACAAAAGCAGCTTGTGACAATGGATATGTATTCTGCTAATTTTTTTCCCTCTTTTTCTCCTTGGCTACCAGTTTTACAGGAATCTATCTGCTATATTCATATGTATCTGTGTTTTTTTTTAAGTGCCTTGCTACATGGGAGTCCTTCCTGGCATCTCAAACAGTGGATCTTCATGTGGAAGAAGATTCTGAAGACAGGCCTTGAGTAGTATCTCTGCTTGATCTCTGCCTTTTCCATGCAGTTTCTCCAAACCAAAGAAGTGCTTTATACAAGAGCAGATACATTATGAAATTTAACTGTTAAAAATCAGTGAAATGCAGGAACCAGCTTATTGAAAACTCAGGTATTTTAGTCCTGAAATACATTTTGGAAAATGCTATATATTGCTTTATATTGCTTAACTGTGATTTTCATATTTTTATGCAAGTGTTTGCATACAATTGTTTTCATAAATATTGCATAATTTGGATATAAAATATTTTAAATATGTAAAAACCCTCCATTTTAATAAAAAGTTTAATGAGGAAAGCTTGTCTTCATTCTGTATCCTAGCCTTTATGAAGTATTTTGGTATTTTAGCGTGCTTGTTATATTCTCTTTGTTGAATAATTTCCCGTACTTGTAAAATTACCTAGTATATTCTTCAAGGAGCTCTTTAGGGTTATTTTAATAGATTTTGCTAGTCACCCGATGGCAACATGGTACAGAAAGATACTGAATGTGTTCTGTGAGATTAATGCTGCTTTAAAGGAGTGTTAATTCAGTTTTCAGTATTTACATGTCTATTAAACATCTTCAATTTGACATTTTTTAAAGGATAAAGAAAAAACTGACAGTTCATGAAACAGACTTTCTACAATGACACAATGTTAGTTGCAGCACAGATCCTGCCAACACAAAAGCTTCCATTTGGGGTTTGCAGGATCAAACCTTTTACTCCCATGGCTGACCTTCCTGTAATCCTTAACTTCCTCCTTCTTTGGATAGCCAGTGTGGAAAAGAAAGGGATAAGAAAGGAAATGAGAGGTTTTCTTTAAAATGATTAGCTGATTCACTCACAATACGCATTAAAGTGTTCCAGTCATTGCATTATTCCACCCAAAAGGTCTGTCAGTCTGCACTTGTAATTCCTGCAGTTGTTCCCCTGGTAGTTAAGATCTGAGCAAGCCTAAGTCTGAATACAGAAAGAATGAGGTGCAGGAATTGGGGACAGCCTAACCGCAGCTCTGGCCTCACAGAACAGCCGTCACCTTCACCTTTTGCAGTGGCATTTTGTGAGCTTGCTCAAGTCAGTCACCTCATGGCTGTGGGGGGGGCAGTTCACGAGCACACGGCTGCACTTGGGTGGCTGTGGACCTGTCCGAGATGGACGAGTCATTTTGTGGCTTTGATCTTAAGAAACTTAGATTCCAAGTGAGACCTGGACTACCAGCACAGCCTTTTCAGCAATGTAAAGAAGACTGCTCCCATGCTGCCCCCATGAAGTATTAATGAAAGCTCAGCTCTTTTTTTTTTTTTTTTTTCCACTATAAAATAGTAGTTAAGATGCTTCTTAAATACTACAGGAAGCATGCATCTTTCTCAGCATGGACAACTCACAGACGAGAGGCGAGTCCGTGTTAGGAGGAAGGCGGTGCAGTGCCGAAGGGCTGTGCCGCGCAGTGTTGTGGCCAGCAGTGCTGGCAGCAGATGCTCGCAGGCAGAACAACATGGCTGCACTGTGCTCTTTTCCCATTGTATCCTTCCTGTTGATTTTTTTTACATTAGAGCTTCTATTAATGTGCTTAATAGCCCTTAATGCCTTTCCTGTGCTTTATTTTGTCCATCTAAACTTTTAGGATTTACCATGCTGAATATCTATGGATTCCACAATATAATTTGCAGGACGAATAAATTCATTTTGTCATTTCTTAAACCAGCTACCCAATAATTTCAGGTAATGCCCTCTGCCTCTTAAATTGTGAGAAGAGAGGAACAATTGTTTCTTATTTGTCTTCCCTGTGCCACTCAAGAATTTAAAAACCTCTAGTGTGTCTTCCAAATGCTGCCTCTTTTCCCAGAGGAGAAGTCGTAGCTTAATATCTTGTACAAAAGGCATTTCACATCTGTGCTCATCGTTGTTGCTTTTCTCTATATTTTCTAGTTCTGCTGCAACCAGTGTTCAAAATGCAGGCACAACAGAAATGTACATGTTGCCACAATTATGCTTTGATTTTTTTCATCATTCTTTCCTACTAATTCCTAATTTAAAGTATCACTGAATGCTGAGCTGCCATTCCGTAGAACTGTCCACTAACATTAAGAGCTATTCTGAAGGTTACTAAATAATTTAATTTCCATCAGTCTGTATATATAGGAGAAGTGGCTTTTCCCCAGTAAGCATTAATTTGCATTTATTAATACTGAATTTTGCCTGCTGTTTTTAGCTCCTAATCTCTCAGTAGTGTATATATGTATGTATATGTGTGTATATATGTATATAAAAACAGGATTCCAACAAGACAGGCAGCAGTAACACTCTGTATACCAGATAAGTGAAAGTTCAAGAAACTAAGCTTGAACAGGCTTACCTGGAAAGATACAAATGTTTAAGTGTAACCAAAAATTAAATACCATGACTCTAATTTAGGCTCCTCTAAGAAAAGGTAATGTCTGGTTAGCTGAGAGGGGGAATGCCAATGTGCGTTGCATTGATTTTACCTGTCTGTTCTGCCAGAGCAGAAGGCTGCTCTCTGAGGCATTCAGAAATCAGAAGCACCATCAGAAATTTTGCATCCTTGGTAAAAAAGTGGACTGCAGTTCATTATGTTCATGATTTATTTTTAATTTCTTTTCATCTTTAGCTAGGCCATAACTTATTGGGGAAAATACTTTAGTAATCAGTTATATAGAGGCTTTCTTGTGACCATGTTGTTATTTTTGTATTTTCTAGTAGTAGTATCATCATGCAAAACCAAGGTCTATTGTTAAGTACAATCATTGTCCTTTTAGTGTCATGCAAATACTTCTGAAACTTACAATTTTAGAAAGTCTATTGTGTTTTTATGCACTGCCCACTGTATTGCACAAATTGTCCTTTGCAGCCTAGTAAAGAATGGATGAGGGCAGAGGTATATATATATATAGGCTCCTCTCATATGTTTTAAGTTTACTCAAAGAAAATGGATAAATAAACCTTTTCTGACAAATGGAGGAGCTCCTGCCTGGTAGCTGGTGGGGCTGACTCGAGTGACTAGAGGATCAAATTGTACAGCCTTAGCAGAAAGCACCTGGACAGCAATACGTTCATAAAGCACTGCACAGCTTTGAAGCTGTTACTATGTGAACCAGGTATGAACTGTTGATTGACTTTCTGCTGCCTTGACTCTAGCCCTCTATCATTCCGGAGAGAGAAAAGCCTTATCTATGCAGTCCCACGGAGGCAGCTTATTGAATAAAGAGTGATTAAAAGAAACGTTGGCCAACAAGCTGAACCTTCAACTCCTTCAAGAAACCTACTGTGTTGCTTTTCCAAGCTGCACCAATGTTTGGGTGCAGCCCCGCTGTTGGCAGTGGCTCAGCCTTGCTGGGATGAACAGAGAGGGGAGAGCTCATCCGGACCTGAAGGGGACAGCCACAGACTTTCAGTGGATTTGGAAGGGTTTGGGGACATGAAAAGTGAAGATACATCCTGGTTTAGGTAAGATACACAATTAAAGAGATACAGAACTGTAAAAGGATGTCCTTGTTTAAAATATAATTGGAAAATGATCAAAAAGCACTGTATTAGTTTTCCTACAGGCAAAAAGCCATACTTTGAGGTTTAAAATTTTTGATCCAGACTGTGATGTGACACTGAGTTTTCGGTAGGAATAATTCCTTTGATAACTGTATTGCTCAGAAGGTTAGTTAAGGAATAAGCATTATTACGTCTGCATTAATAATTAACCAAAAGTTGCCAGTAAGCCATTAACTGTCAAAGCCAAACTAAGAAACTTCCCTGAAATCAAGGCAATGTTGATTATGTGGTGTGGGGAAGATGCACTGTTCCTTAAGTAATTGTTATAATACTATGTCAGCTTAAAGAGCAACTGAATTGCCTTTTTGAATTACCTTCTTTAATCAAAAAATAAGTGGTTGCAATGTTATAATGTAGGGGGTTTTTTTACAAAAGTAAAGCATCTCACCAGTCTCTTTTTGCAAATGAAAAGAAGATTATTATTATTATTATTATTATTATTAT